TATTACTTGAGACCACCCATGGGACATTGGATATCAGTGGACCCTCTACCAACGAATCCCTTCAATGGAGAATCAAAGAAGTCTTTCCTTTACCTACTGCTTCTAGTGAGAGCCCTAATTACAACTCGAATACCATGTATGGCATGGCAACTTTAGTATTGGAAGGGTGTACAGCTTAATAAACTGCGTGGAAATGGAAAATTTTTGCGCTTCTAACAGCTGAGCGACACTTCCAAGTTTCCCACCGATTTATTTGCTTGTTTACTTATTTATTTTTACGCTGTTTCGGGCCGTAATCGTAAACAACATGAACGTCATCGACTTAATGTGTTCCCTATACCTCTCCAACTACATTTCAATACATTTCCCCGAGGATTTTGAGAGGCTTGATTTTTAGTTTTGAAAAACGAATTCAGTCAGATCGAATCAGCATTGGGGAAACTTCTATCCGCCAGCACTGGAACACAATGATTGTACTGACCCACAGTCTATTAGCCACATACCACGTGAGTGAAAATGCAAAAAACGGCTGTCGGTAATGAGGTTGCAAGACTAATCTGCTTTCTCATGAATATTCATACCTATTTTTGTCATGGTCGTTTAATGGCTCTTCCATCTTAGCAGCTGTTCGAATAGCCTACCTGGGAACGAGCTATGTACAGCTTCATTCCTAATAACTAACACCGTCATTCTGCTATGTAACGGTGATGTCACCTGGTCCCAGACGATCTAGGAGCAGTAAACAAGGCTGGAACGGCTTCTGCTAACTGATGTACGATCTGCAGATCCTGAATAGAGCTCTCATCACCTTAATGATGCAACTTGTTTCTCTGGAGTCGGCCATACGACATCAGAATGTTCTTGTACCATGTCGTTGGCTCGCAGCAATCAACGGTATAGACGTCAATCCTGCATCGAAGAGGCATTCTATGGAGTAGGTGATGTCAAAAAAAGTGGAAGGGTCACGCGGACTTGGAAGGGAACCAGCTGACGTTGGATCTTCTTCCTACCCTATCACGAGGTCAACGAGGAGCCAACCAAGTTTAAAAGCATCAGGTACATATTGCAAACTCAGCTGTCTAAGGAAAAGTGACTTTCATCATGTTCCGGGAGGGCTTGACCATGGTGGGCATCCTTCTGATTGTGAGACAAAGATATATTCAGTAACGACATCGCTTGCCCAAATTGGAAAGGTGTTAACTAACGAGCGAGCCCACAAATCCGCTCCCCCGGGATCAGCTCCGATCTTGGTGTTAATGTTTTGGACACCAGTCAGCTCGTCGTAATTTGGCCACGAATGGACAACATTGTCCCTTTGTAGAAAATTTCAATAACCTCATAGATTAATCTGTATGAGTCACCGAACACTAGTTGGAAGAGACTTTTGTAGTGTAAGGGACAGAGCACGGTGCCCCGGAAAGCAAAAGTGAGGGTTCAAGTCCGGTCCGAGACTGAAGTTTTGTCCATAAATCGCCAACTTTGTGAGACTTTCGGAGCGCGTACTGCGACGAAATAACAGCAGCTAACAAAACATCAAGTCAACATAATAAAGTATATAAGAATAGAAAAGTCTAGAGTCTCTCGGGTTTGGTCATTTCCTTTTCCGGGATCGTGACGGCTAGCCGATGTACAATTCGGTGTATTTATCCTCCGAGACAGAATCAGTACCGCCGAAATGACTTCGAAGGGAAGGGACGGGAAGGTTGTCTTAGGAGGGTATCGATACGATTTTCATCGACTGTTGGCAGCTACTACTGCTACCAATAACCCAAAGATCATGAGTTCCGTCTTGGGCAAATATGGTGACCTGTGTATCGGTCTTTTTTCATTGTCTTTGCAATTTCTTCAAAAGAGAGGAATAACAGAAGATGTACCAATTCGATGGACATTAGGTGCAGAGAAATAACCATTCTAATCGTTTTTCTGACCGTGAGGACTTCGGTATGGCTTAAGGATTTACTTTTTGCACTTAGCAGTATTTTCAAACGTGTAATTTCAGTTAGTTTACCAAGCAGGAATTTCAAACGCCTTGACCATTCAGAATCAAATCTGATGCACTATGCGCGAGTCGCGACGGCAACAACGATACCATTGCCGTCGCAACTCGCGAAACTGAGGTTTTCAACCCCTCGAAGGGGCGTGGACTGTTTGCCTATCCGTCTGCCTCCCTCCTCCCCGCTAGCACTGCCTCCACGCCGGCACGCCGGCCGGCCGGCGGACTATGAAAGCAGCTAAACAGTTGTCCGCTACTCCACCATAATGCGCGGAAACAGAAACAGGAAGCAGAAACAGTTCTGTGACGCCGTCGGGACCCCCGAACTTTGGAAACTAGCAGGCGCGAGTACAAAGCTACAGTGTCGCACCGGGGTTCGCAGCTTAGGAGCGGTGACACCGTCGGCGTGAATGCCTGATCGGGGTCTTACGCAGTGCTCGCTCTCGCCCCATTTGCCACGCGAGATTGTTGCTTTGGTCCTTGCAGCCCCTACTGCAGCCCCTACGCTGGTCCACACTCCAACTCTCCTATACGCGTGCTACGTCCTAAAACACGGAATAGCCCACGCACAGATAAAGCATATCAACCGAAACACCTTCATTACCGGGGAAAAGTCGAATGCCCAAGCGGAGAATGCAAGTTCCTGCTTCTTCTATGCTGTGGTCCTTCCATACAATTCTGTGCAACTTATCTAGAAGGACCCCTACTTGAGCATCCATTGAGACACATTTATCAATTCCTTTCTTCACGTAGCTGATGAAATCTATAAGTTCAAAAGTCAAAAATTTATCACTAAAATTAAAATTTATCACTCAGAAGAAGCGAAAGAACAGGTCAGTTTCTGAAATGACGAATAAAGTTTATTGCTTGTTCTTCAAAGAAAAGCAATTATCAAAGTAAAACATCCATTAAAAAGGTCCATTATAGCCAGGGACAATAAAGGAATGCGAATTCAGAAGCAAGATGGTGCAATATTTGAGAAGGTGTACTTGCTTTTTGATTCATATGGCTTTTGTAGTACAGCCACTCCGGGAAAATTATGTCTAAAAGAGCTTGTATTGACGAGGAAAGCCTTAAAAATGAGCAAATAATCATGGACATCAACTGACTTGTAGTTCATGTTACTGTGGTGTTTCCATAGGTTCGTCCAAGGATCGAAAACTTCAATCGAAGAAAGATCATAGCCACCAATAACATACAGTTTTCCATTGACTGCAGCCAGTCCTAGCTGAAAACAACTCAAATTTGCTTTGGGAAAAAGAGATCACGAGGGTAGAGGGAATACAGCTGACTTACACCATCTCGGCTACGGCTTATATCAGCCACTGAGGTCCACTTGTTAGTTCGGGGATCGTACTTCTCAGCAGACCTCAGTCTGCACGAATCTCCGTTGGATCCCCCCACTGCATACAATTCATTATAGAGCACTGCAGATCCATGACGACGTCGGCGTGTTGACATTGGACAAATCTCCTCCCATCTACCAACTCGTGGATCGAATCTGAAACAAGAAGGGGTATTCTTAGGGCTGTTCCAAACATTTGTTCCAAGTTTTCATTCACAACTCATCCAGAAGACTTCAGAAAGAAAAAAATTTTCTATAGGACTATGGCAAGAACAGTGAAAACAAACAATTTATCGGGAAATTTTACTGTCGTCTGATTCTGAAAGTAAGAAGTTACAGGACTCCTTCTTGCCTTGAAGTGTGTAATGACTGGTTGGCTCCGAAGAGCTGGAAAGGATTATGAGCCGATTCTCGGCGTCAATAAAAGATCATTTGCAGGAAATTGCTGAGAAATCTGCACCAAGTAGTACAAGGTCACCAGATTAAAACTCACCCACCTCTCTACGGTATCGAGAACAACATTATTATAGACCCCTCCAACTGCGTAGAGGCAACCATCTAACACGGAGACAGAAAGCCAGCTTCGGCGTGAACTCATGGGTGCCACAGAGGTCCACTCATCCCGTCGAACATCATAGCTGGAATGACACAACGGAATTCAAAACATGCGAAAGTCGACCAACGCTATTTCTACCGTTCAACGATGTTAAGGCCTTCAAGGTAGTCGTCGCTACCTCCCACTGCATAAAGATGGTGGTCAATAGCAGCTACCCCAAGTGAGCTTCGATTAGAAGGACAGGGAGCAACATCATACGTCCACTGGTCAGTAGCAGTATTATATCTGAAGAGTTACATTGAAGAAACACTGTTTCCTTACTTCACATGCCTCTACAACTAGTTTCAAGGAAATTGCATTTCTCAATTAAAAACTCCAAACAATAACAGTAATCACCTTAAGAACTCGGAAATTCGCGCAAACACCGCTGGCTCTCTCCTTTTTCGCCTTTCTCAATCAGTCTGTTCAAAGTAGAGTATGTAAGGAGGTGAAGACACAGTTGAGCTCAGCTCGTCGAGCTCTATAAGCTGATTCTCCTTGATAATGCTGTGTTTCGGATTGCGCCATGCACTTGAGTTTCATCCAAGAAATAATAGGTTGATGCATGATTATTCCGGACTTTTTCATAATTATTGCGGACTTCTTTTCTCTTGATACAAATTGCATGGCGAATCCGGGATTCGATAGAAATAATTTTCCTTTTTTCCTTGACATAAGTATGGGTTGGACGGTAGCGCAGTCATAGAGTGATCACAACGAACTTCTCGATGATGGAACAGTCCGGCAAAACCGAGTAAAGACTGGAATCTGCTCCTACATCCGCCCTACTCACCGAAACAAACTCCTATGGATTATCACGTCAATCGACCATTGAAAAATTGGCTAGAGAGCGGAACTTACGACGAAACGGATGACTCGATGGTCGATGTCAAGGCGTGGGTCGCCTCCAAGACTCGAAAATTCTTCGCCTGTGTAATACGACTTCTTAGCAAATAGGAAGCAGTGCTTGGCGTAGAGGATGGGTATGTTCGGAGTAATTACTCGAACATGTCTTTGCTAGATATTTTTATCGTTTTTAAGTAAAATTAGCCAAGAAAGATCCGCAATAATTATGCATCAACCTAATAATTGCATGCACCAGGAGTCACCCCTCCTTACTGGTTCCATAGAGGATATGACATCAGTTCGATTCTCATCGATTTTGCTTGACATTTTCCAATTTTTAGAGAGACTCCTTTCCTTGAGAAAATTTGAGAAGTTGGCGTAAGGCACCTATTGGACACCTATTTTTCGTGGACAATTCTTTGCGAGACCATCGTGACAGGCCTTGTCATACATCGAAGTTTATTCCTTGGACTGGCCCCGAGCGCCGTTGTTTTCTCCTTCCCATTAGGCTTTTTGCAACTATTATATTAAAGGCAAGGCAGTTCACGATAATTTCGAAGTAACCCTTTTTAGTCGAAAAGCAGAAGTGTAGGTTGGGAATAGTAAAGAATAGAGTAATCGGTAGTGAAGAAAGAGAGAAAATTCGCCAGTTTTGAGAAAAAAGGCTTTTCAAAGTGGGGAAAGTAGAGTTAGGACGAAATTGCCATGACGAAAGTACTATGGAAGGGGTATTCGGACGAGATTTCGGTCGTTGCAATTGCGCAAAGAGCTGACTACATCAGGCTAAAATTGTACAGAACAGCCTTTCACTGACGCTGTGGGTCATGACAGGTTGTTTCAAGTTCCTACATGGACTCCTTTGTGATCTGTACAGCCTCTGCACTGCTGGTGAAACTCGTGCGAGGACGCACACGCCCCAGATATTGTAGGCGAGGAGCTTCAAATTCATCCTATGGGGAAGCCCCAAAAATCAGTTTTATCGTGAACTGTGCCTTCGAGTCTTTCACAGGCCCTATAAAACAAGCCAGCACAGTTAAGTCACAGATTGCCGCTTCCAAGGACGATAGGAAGATTATCTGTGCGTCGATGCAGTATTCCAGACAAGCATCTTCCGATATAAAGGCCGAGATATCGACGACGATGTCGCTACTATCTGGAGCTACCATGAACGGAAGTCTGTGAGATGCTAGATTATATGGAGGACGACTTGTGAAAAAAATTTGGATCCCTGAGGATTAAACGAGCTCGACTTCAACGGGCGTGTAATATAGTAGTACCTTCGCTGGTCTTTCTACCAATGATGCGAAGTCACCTAGAGCGACTACTCAAAAATTGGTTTGCTTGGTGCAGATGGAATTTCCATCGTAGAGGACCTTTTATAGCACAAGCTTTGATCCCACGAAACCCCCACGATTGGCAACCCTTAGGCATGATGTCGGTTCATTATTGGTTTGGGTATGTTTTCCGAGTCAAGGCATGGGGCTTCTGTACTTCCCCATGCCTTGACTCGGCAGATGTTCGTAGTCATCTTGGAGAAATGCATGCCACACTCTCCCGTCGTGTGCACGGCAGAAAATGTATTTTCCAACAGAATAACTACTCCAAACATAGAACTAGAAGAGTGTGGCTGACTCACCGGAAATTCGATGCCTCGACTGGCTCAGCCAGTCCCCTGACCTAAACATCACTGAAACCTCGTGGCAGGAACTCAAGAAAAGGATAGTCGGTAAAACAGCTACAACTGCTGCTCAGAGGTTTGCCCAGTTGAAAGAAGAGTGGAAGAAAATTGACCCGTGCGTGATCAAGTTGGTCGAATCAATGCTGTCATCAACGCCAACGGCTTCACCACAGAATATTAGACTATTAGTTATTTAGGTCTTGATCACATGATGATGGCGTTCAAGTCAAGAAATCTATTTCGAATTGTTGGAACTGGTGTTATTTTGTCCTGTCAGAAAAAGTGTGAGAATTGGCCTTTCAACGGAATAAGAAGAAGTTTCGTGAGTACCTTTATGAAAACATTAAAGTTCATTACTGTTGCCAACATATTAGGTTGGAAGATAAGTCCTGCAACACTTTGAACATCTCCAGAAAGAAGCCTAAGCCCTTTTAAAATGTTTTTGCGCCTGATTGCTGTAGAGTGTTGCTGAAGGATTTCGAATTTGGACATAAAAGGGATTCGTGAAGAGTCTTGAGCCATTAGACTCCATAATACACCATGCTATTATCCGACCTATCGTCTACTACGAATTCCTGAAGGGACACTCTGCGAGAGCCGCGGTGGTTAACATCTACGCTGCCTTCAAGAAGGGCGCTGCTCACTTTTCAAGGGTGTCCCAATGCTTCAATCGCTTCGCTACCGGAGAAATTTGTTCGAGGACAGACAATGCAGTGGTCGCCCAACGGAGTGGAATGGTGAACGTTTACTCAGTGCCTTTCAGATGCAGCCGAATGCGACTAGCTGCGAATTAGCGATAACAATAGGATGTACTCATACGACAATTATTGAGCATCTCCACGAGTTTGGCTACAGGTCAATATTCTGACGATGGGTTCCTCTTGAACTACACCTGTCTGACAAGACGAACAGAATGCATGTGGCTGAGTCTCTTCTGCTTAGTCCCCATCGAAAAGACCTTTTGCGAGACATATGTAGTGACAGGAGGTGAGAGGTGGGTGCTTCATGTGAATCATACACGTTAACGCCACACGGTTGCTCGAGGAGAAAAGCCACCTACTGAATCTAAAGCAGTCCTCCATGAGAAGAAGGTTTCATTGTGTTGCTGGTAGGACTGCAGTGGCATGATCTACTGGGACCTTCTAGACAAAGGTACTACAGTGACGGCCACAGTCTACGCCAACCAGCTGCACAAAGTGGCGAACGTAATACGAGAATTACGCCCGTAAAGACTCAATGTCTTCCTTCTCCACGACAACTCACGCCTGCATGTGACCAACGAAACATGTCAAAAAATTATGGAACTCGGATGGGAAGTGCTGCTGCACCCGACTGATTCACTGGACCTAGTGCCTTCTGACTGTCACCTACTCAGACACCTGAAGCACCATCTAAGCGGCAAGAAATTTGATGATCGTTGTAAACTCAAAAATGAAATCGAACACTTTTCTCGTCGCAGCCACCGGAATTCTGGAAGAGAGGGAGCGAGAAGCTGCCCGAAAGGTGGGCACGTTCCTAGATACTAGTGGTGATTGTACTATAGATTGAAGATTTCGTTTGATAAGGAAATATAAAATTCAAAAACTTGTCCGAGTGTTGTTCTCCAGTCTTATCTTCCAGGTTCAAAAAATCATCCAAAATCATCGAGTTCGAGATGAGTCATGAGAAAAAAGGTCTAGGGTGATTTCTTTCCGACCAACTGTAAGTAAAGTCAAGTACGTGGCACAAATTCTGAACACTTCGCCCTCAGAGACCATCAGCCCCTGCAAGCACTTGAGCGTGCGTTCCCTGTACGTGCAACTACTTCCCGAAAAAACTCAAGTGCATAGCACAATCCAATTAAAGCATTTTCAATACTTCAGAGCATCAGCTTATAGAGCTCGACGAGCTAAGTTCAACGGTATTTCTGGTTTCTGAAGTATTTCATTTTGAACCGAATGGGGCTTATTTCTGAGTTTTCCATTAGGAGAGAGCCATTGATTGACGTCATTTTGATTGAAACAACGACCAAACTCAAAATGAGTGCAGACTGGCTCAGAAGTAGCATTACAAAAAACAACTTTCATCTGCTTTTTGAGGAAAACGCAGTACCTCCGGATTCTGTTGAGAGCATTGGGGCTATTACGGCAACACACAGCGTAAATGAACTGCTCGACAACAGCCACGCCTTTAACACACCTGAGGAATTAGGAGCTCTTTTGAACGGTGTGCACATACCAAGAGATTGTTGTACCTTTTCTGTTTCAAGGGAGCTACGCACTGCCATACACGACTAGTGCCTTCCGGATTCAGCTTTTCCACACTCCTACTGTTTAATCCACCCACTGAAATTGCGCATTTTGAAATAAGAGCATTAACTGGTACCACTCAAAACTGGAAAATAGTCAGAAAAAGCCAATATGGAAGCCGCTATGGTGAGAAAAAAACCCAGTTAGGCTTTCGTCACTGACCAACATAGATTTCTTCAGTAACCACTTCACACAGTCGAGGGCGCGTCTTTTCCAACTGGGGACATCCGGGTGAAGACAATTGAAGCATCAGGTTGTTCTGAAGTTCAAAAAATTGCAAAAAAAAGGAATTGACAAATTTGAAGAGCAGATCTATTGGGGATAGGTTACTGGGAGATGCATCTAACCTTTGCTTGATCGACAAGATTGTGGCAGGTGGCGTCCGCCATTACCAGTGCATTCTTACTTACCGTATTGGCAAGAAATTCCAACCGACAAAGAGGAAGTCGTACGTGCTCCAACAGCTGCAACTGATGATTAGAAATCGGAATGTAAAGAACCTTCCTGCTATCACCTTCGGCAGCAATTGTTTTCGAGATGACAAGTCGAAGTCAACCCACTGGATTACTGCAGTGAAAACCTGGAGTCATGCTTGTCGCTAACACACTTGAAGATTTGAGTATGCAAAATTACCGAACAAGAGAGGAGCTTTTCCTTCAGGTTTGACACATTACCTGCTCTTCAGAAGATACAACAAGCTCATCGTTCGATATGAGCTGAAGCATTTGATTTATTGAAAGCTGATGGAACTCTTCGGTGCCAATAAGCTCCTGAAGAAATGCAATGGATGCGTCATCCAACTTTAAAAAGAAGTGAATACCTGAAATACCCTCAAGATATAGTCATCAGCATAGCAAACAAGCTCATGGCATGAATGATTATCGGCAAGTGCTCGAATTGCAAGGCATTTCGATGGGCGCAACTGCCTCCTCAGAAACTCACAACAGGCTTCCTGAGCACTCAATAAAATAAGTATGTAATTCTTATATGGTGTTCCTGAACACTGTGAACTCTTGTAGACATTTTAAAAACCTGACCTTGACTTCGTTCAACTGAAGCAGGCAAGCCGCGTGCAGTATGCTCGGAACATTGATGCCGTCAATTTGTATCTCACCACAATAGCAGAAATTGATCAGAGCATCAAGCGCTGGCGCTTCGACACCGAACATTTCTACTTCCTCTGAAAGAAGAATTGAAAGAACCTGTCCAGCAGCACATACCACAAGTTATGAACGTACGCTGCCGACATTCGCGCATTTCACTGGTGAACATAGCCTTAAAGTAGTCCGAGTAGGAAGCGAGCACGACTCGATGGGCGTTGATTCGCACTCCCTGGAAA